TGACAATAATGGACTAAACCTCTGAACTGTAAGCCAACCCCAAATAAACGTTTTCCTTTATAAGAGTTGCTGTGGTCATGCTGTCTTTTCACAGCAATAGAAACCCAGAATTAAGACAGAAGTTGGTGGCCGGGCGGTGGTGGTGCACGCCTTTAATGCCAGCACTCGGGAGGCAGAGCCAGGCGGATCTCTGTGAGTTCAAGGCCAGCCTGGACTACCAAGTGAGTTCCAGGAAAGGCACAAAGCTACACAGAGAAACCCTGTCTCGAAAAAAAAAAAAAAAAAAAGACAGAAGTTGGTACCAGGGACTGGGGTATGACTGTAATAGGCCAGACAATGTTTTTGTTTGGAGTAATATGGACTTTGGGAGTTTGGGTTAGGAATGCAGTGAAATGCTTTAAGTGCTGCTTAATGGGCCATTCTAGTAGGAACATGGAAGACAGCGGTGCTGAGTGTGATCTGCTGAACTGTGAGAGGCTGGCTCAAGATGTTTCCAAGGAGAAGAATTTTAGTATGTTGCCTAGAGATCGTTCTTGTGATATTTTGGTAATGAAGGTGGCTGCTTTTTGCCCTTGTCAGAAAAGTTTGCCTGAGGCTAAAGTGAAGAGTTTTGGATTAATTTCACTGGCAGAAGAAATCTCAAGACAGCCTGGTGTAGACTCTGTCATGTGGTTATTAGTGTTAACTCTGATGAAGATTTATAATGAAAAGGAGCAAGCTGAGCAAATAAAAATATAAACTGTACAGATTTAAAAAAGGGACACCAGGAAGTGGAATAGAGCTAAATCCTGTGTTCAAGGAGATAAACAGATTGAGAAATGGAATACAGGGAGTGGTGACCTCAGGGCAAGATCCCACCCAGCTAAATTTCTATCTTGTGCAAAGCAATTAAAGAAAAGCTTAGAGCCAGGTGTGGTGGTGCATGCCTTTAATTCCAGCACTGGGAAGGCAGAGGCTGGCAGACCTTTGAGTTCTAGGCCAGCCTGGTCTACAGAGAAAGTTCCAGGATAGCTAAGCCTAGGCAGTGATGGTAACAATCAAAAACAAAAAGCTGGTGAAGATGTAATTGAACGAGGGGGCCGCATTCCAGCCCCAGCAAGCATCAGAACTTGGCAACTTTGACCACGTGGTTCTGGCATTAGAGTCAGGTTTAGAATAAAGGGGTTACGGAATCTTCCTTTTTGGCTAAGGCACTTGTCAGGGGTGTCCCTCAATGGAGGCCTAGAGAGGCCATTTGGTGAAGCTGTGAAGTTGAAGCCTAAATTTCCTTGGAGAACCCAAGATGTTAGAGTTGCCAGAGTTGTTAGAGATGCCAGAGTTGTGGGATATATGTTAGAATTCCTAGCCACTCCCCCAGCTACATAACCATACATGCACTGCAAGATGCTTAGTCATCCCAGGGCCTTACCTCCTACGTAATCTGTGTATGTGTGATCACATAAACTATGCACATGTGTGGCGTAGCTATGTAAGCCCATATTCGAATGTTCAGGGGAGGAACCTATAAAAGAGGGTTCTACTTATTCCTCCCCTCTCTTCCTGCTTGGCCATTCCATAGGTCTATGCACACCTTTCCTATTCTCTTCCCTTAATAAACTCTTATATTGGGTTTTGTTGTACCTCATGGCTTTTCTCGCACGGTAAACAGCACTGCTTAACGAATAATACTGCGTCGCTTAATAAATAACTATAGATACTGAGAAGAGCTGCTAACAGGGAGTGGAACCAGCCAAAGAGAAAGAAGTGTGTTGCAATCAACAAAGATGAAAGAAATTGGAGATCTGAAGAGCATTTTGGCATCAGATACGGAGATGCCAAGTAGAGTTTGCCCAGCTGGTTTTCAGTCTTGTTTTCGTCCAGTATTTCCTCACTATGCTCCCTTCCTTATGTTTTGAGAGCAGCAATGTATATCCTGTATCATTATATGTTGGAAGTATGTGATCTGTTTTCTGATTTTGATTTTTATAGGGAATTACAGTTAAGAGATTGCATGAATCTCAGAAGAGACGTTGAACTTTAGACTTTTAAATAAGTTTGAGACTGTTATAGACTAGGGGGACTTTTGAAGTTGTACTGAATGCAGTTTTGCATTATGATATGTCTACTAGCCTATGGGGGCCAGGGAGTGGAATGTGGTGATATGAAAGAAAATGTCCCCCAAAGAGGAGTGGCACTGTTAGGAGGTGTGGCCTTATTGGAGTAGTGATAAAGCACTGGCCAGACATGCATGATGCCTAGCTTCCATTCCCAGCATCATGAAAGGGATAAAAGGGGGAAGGGATACAAGGTTCCAGGTTAATCATCCCTAATCTGCAAACTTTAATTCAAAGAACTTCAGAATTCTAAACTTAGGGGCACTGATATGAAACTGCAAATGGACCATTCGATTCCTGACTCCATGGATGGGTCTCAGCCAGAACACAGCTGAATAGAATAGTGTATGGACTACAGAGATCCTTGTTCGTGCATATTTAGTGCTACTCTAGTCCCAATAGGTAAGAAATAGACACATTCTAAATGTCCTTCAACTGATGAATGGGTAATGAATGGGGTACATATATACATTAGAATTATATGAAAAGAAAAATGAAATCCTATAATGACTCCGCACCACCCAGAAGCCATATAATTATCAAACACAATCTCAGTGACAGGAGAGGTTCAAATGTTCACCGAGAAGGGTCTGTGTGACCCCCAAACAATTTAGATTATTGTCATCACTCTTGGTTGCCTGCCAGAATTGGACAGTAAGACTCTCTTGCTTAAGACATCATACACTTTGGTCACAGGACTTGGCGAAGTCAAGCTGGTCCTGCTCTGGAAGCCTCCTCCCCGATAGCTAGCTCTTCTACTATTGGAAGGTGCTATAATAGCTGCCAGGGAGAAAAGTTTTCACCAGTCCTATCCAGCTGCAAACCTTCAAACTGCTATACTGATCAGCTGGGCAAGATACGACCAGCAGTGGATTCTTTCACCAATATGTTGGGATTAATCAAGATCTGTCTTATGGACTTAAGACTCCACTCAATAGAAGGAACTCAAGAATAGTATTGTAAACCTAGCCAAGAACCCATGACTGAAAGGGTCGTCGACCATACATGAGAACCCACTACTACCATTTTGTTACACCGATTCAGTCTTCGAAATATTTATGCTTACAGCCTTAGATAAGTGAAGCTCTCACTCTTCATCAAAGAAACTTCCCCCTGCAGCAGATGGAGGCTACTATCATGATCCACAACTATTTAAAGTACAGAGAATAAGCGACTGAATTGCCCATCACCAAATGGCACATGGATAACATCACCCATAGCCAAGGCTCAGGGAACATCATGGAAGAGGCGACAGAAAGACTGTAATAGCCAGAGGACTGGAAGGATAACTACAATACAGTGTCTTCTGGACACGACAGAGGTGTTACACTCAAGATCTCTAAACAATATGGTTGCCTGCACAAGACCACACTAGCCAACATCCCAGCATGGAGAGGAAGGAATCACAAGGCCCCTTCTCTAGGTGGAGAGCTACGGGCAGATGGTGGGAGAGTGAATGACAGCCAGTTTTCTTCAGGGACAGGCCTTTGATAGACTGCCCATGCCCAAGTGGGTCAACCCTACATTCACATACATACATATATACACACATAAATATATACATACATATGCACACATGTTTATGCATGTATATATTGTATATATGTATGCAACAGTAATTAGACTTAATAGAACACACACATATGCACATACACACATAATAACAAATTATGAAAAAGAGAACACGTATTTGAGAGGAGAATATGGGGGAGACCTGGGAGGAGGAGTAGATACATTGAAAATACAGGGTACTAATTTATGAAATTCTTAAAATAAAATAATCAAAACAGTCTATGAAGTATATATGAAATGTAAATGAATTTCATTTGTCCTCATACTTAAGATATCTCAATAGATATATGCATTTTGTTTTTCCTGGTGTGTGGTGGCAGGGAGGGCCTTGGACGTGTGCCACATGCAACCCTTAAATATTTATTTTCAAAGAGATCCTTAAAGGTTTTCTTCGATTTTTCTAGTTGCCTTTTCCCTTAACATTTTTAACTTATTAAAATTTCTTTGAGGTAAGAACATGAGGCACCTTATCCTTAGCTTCAGGGTAACAGCAGATCTGCACCGTGACAGAAGTGAGGCTTTCTTCCCAGCACTCACTTGGCGATGATGACAACTAGTGGCACCACCACAAGTTGTTTTGGTTCTGGCACCTGCTTTTGGTGGTTTGGGACTGAGTCACCTCACATTCAGCCATGACCTGCTTTCCCAGTTGTGCTGACAGACAGTAAAGACAGTTGATTGACACATGACCATTTGGGCGGATGAGAAGGACCATGCCCTGCTGATGTACAGTGTTACTGAACAAAGACAGCTTGGTGAGAAGGACTTTAAAGGATAGATGAGTTTGTTATCTACTGTCTCAAATTTGCTTCTTTAGAAGTTCCAAATAAAATTGTTGAATATCTTAACATGTATATGCAAATGGCCCACACACTGCATTCTCAATCACTTCTGGGCACAGCATTTCTGATTAGAGATACTCAACCTGCAATTACTTTAAATTAATTAACCAATTAAATTTTTTGACAGTATGGATGGGACCTGTGCATATCAGACAAGTACTTTACCACTGAGTCACACTCTCAGCCCCTGGTCCTTGTTATTACAAGTTTATTTACTTGTTTGTTTATTTAAACTCAGTAAATAGTGGAGGATGACCTTGAACTTCTGATCCTCTTGTCTTTGCTTTCTGAGCGCTGGGATTACAGACATTCACCATGGTGTTCAGTGCTGACTTTTATTTACTTATTAGATTTATTACCGGGACGTTTGTATTGTACCTTCAGTTTGGTTTTTGACAGTTTCACACAAGTATACACTGTATTGGGATGTCATTGACCCCCATGACTAGAGGACTTCTTTAGTGTCTGTCTTCAGTATGTGAAAAGTACTCACCTGCATCTGACGTCGCTGCAGATGCAGCAAGGAGAGATAATACCGGGCCTGAAGGAATTGCAACACTGTCCACTGTGGTTGGCTTCTTCCTGGCCATCATGGTGGACACTGAGCCCTCGCTCTTGCTGTGTGCTGCCGTCTGGTCCACTCTTAAGTGGGGACTTGGCATCCCTGAAAAACAATAAGCCCAGAACCTGTAGTAGGAACAGAGGGACAACCATCATCAAACCTGAACATGATCTGAGTAAATAGTCCAAACGCTTGTCCTCTTTCAGATGCAAAAAGAAAGGAAATAGAATACTTAAAAGAAAAATAGCCATGGCTAGTTTGAGGGTGAGGTCAGGACTAAGGGCTTTCTAGAATGGATGCCTAGATATGAGGCCCACACATATGTAATGAAGCAGTATAATGTATCAGGTATCCATTAGCCTTCTGAGGATCAAGAAGCACATCTTCACAGAGATTACACTGACCGGAGTATGAAGGGTAATTCACTCAATTCCTACCCTACTGAGGCTCCCATCTCACTCAGCTAGGAAGAAGAGACTATTGGAGAAGAAAACACTGTGTAGCCAATTCCTGTGGGCTTGTGCATTATTCATTCTAGATGCTGTGGAGAGTCTATAGTTATAAGATCAGCATTGAAAGAGACACTAAGTAGAGCTCATGCAGAACTGTGAGGCTGAGGGAAAGCCATTCTTGGTGAAGAGAAGAGAACAAGCAAAATAATAGGTAGCAAGGAATGGGATCCAGATAGATAATTATCTTAGGTGTTCACAAATGGCTGAATGGATAAAGAAAACGGGGCATGCTAGGAATATCATTCACACATCAAAATGAATGAAATTTTGTCATTTCCAACAAAATGCCTAGACTAGAAATATGATATTCTCCCATTTGTGGAAGTTAAAAAAATGACTTAAATGTAAAATAGTGATGGCTAGAGGCTGAGGAGTATCATGGCAGATTGGATTTAACAGCTGATTTGGAGGACTCTGAGTGTCAGGACTTGACAAGTATCACAGGTCATGTGATTAGGATTTTGCAGCTCATGATAGACTCTTATGGGCTATTCTGGACCCCTGTTTCTTAATCTGGATCCTGTTTCCCAGCTCTGGCATTTCCAAGCTATCACGAAGAACAAGTTACTTAATGTAATTTAATGTCAATTAACATTTAAGTTCATAGTTTTAAACTTGAGTTTTTATGGTTAACTTAAAAAGTGGGACAATGACAGAACTTTGTAAGGTGTGGTGAGCATCCAGTGAGTGGAAATGTTAAACACTTAGAATGAGTTCCAGGACACACTCCACGCTCTGCAAATTTCTACGGTTAGTGCTAATGTGTGAGTGTCTATCCATATTATTATAGATATGGAGATAAATATAGCCCATGACTTCCTCAGAAGCAATTTGAACCAGTAAGTAGAGGTTCAGTTCTCTTTTCTGATATGGTTAAGGATTTATGGACACCTATCTATATCCCCAGCTGTAAACCATGTCTAAGCCTAGTGGGTTGAGTGGGCCTGATCCATGTCAAATGGCCATCTATTCAGGCTTCCTCCATCTGTAGGCTGTGGCCAACAATCACAAATTGGGTTTTGTCAGTCATTCTTGACACGATTTTTTTCCCATCGTAACCAGCCTGAGTAATGCAGTCCCTTCCTTGGGCAATGCTATCTTAATCACCACAGTGAGATCCCCTTTAATCACTTTGACTTCATGGCAATTCAGTGAGGGATGACCATGGCTATTACCATTTTCTCAATTTTACAGACGAGAAGAACACCCTTTTGGGGGAGCTTAAGGGAAAATTGAATCAAGTCCTCCTGGTCTTAGGTAGAGTTGGATATCTCCAGTTGCAAAATGCTAAAGCCAGGATCAAAATGCTAAAGCCATTGGACCATACTAACACTGAGCACAGTTCAAGTCCATCACAGTATGCTTCATGCTGAGGACACAAGCCTTATTCCACAACTGGACGACACACCTGAAGGCACCCAGAGAGTGGGTCATGCCAACGTCTTGTTTTATCCCCTGCTACCCTCCTTCTACTCTCCATTCTCATCTCATCAACTCTTGCTTAAGATACCGGGACTAATACAATTTCTGCACTTTTCTGATCTTGCGTTTCAGAGTATTTTGAAGACAGAAAGAGACAAATGTCAAGTTCTCTGGTAACAATATTACAAGGCACATCCATAAAGATACACAAAGGTGTGCAGTGTGCCCTATGAGCATCAAATTAAGTAGGTGTGCTTAAGATAGACAAAGCACAGCACCCAGGGCAGTTATAGTCATGTGTGCAAATGTCTATCCAAATAGTGAGCAAAAATTACTCTAAAGAAGGGGGGTCAGGGATTGGTGGAGTACAAGAAGTAGGGATTAGGAAGAGTTCCCCTTTTCTTCTTAGCCTTGACTTTACTGTTCTATGTATATCATATGATATATTATACATATGTGATACAGGTATATGTTAAAGGAGGGGAAAGGTCTCACTCTGTAGTCCAGGCTGTTCTGGAACTCACTATGTAGCCTAAGCTGGCCTATAACTCAGGTGGTAATCCTCCTGTCTCAGCCTCCCAAGAGTTGGGATTATAGGTATGAGCCATTATTTCTAGCAACTACTAATATTTTTGAAACTACAAACATGTATTAACTTTCCTTTTCCATCGAGAAAAGAGAGTCTGAGGAGAAAAAATCTAGAAAAGTCTTAGAGCACGATACTGAGGTAGAATGTCCAATGTGCCTTGTGGCTGCTAACAGGTCTGATCACAGGGACAGCAGACAGGGAACAAAACAAAACAAAGCCCCCATTTTTGTTTGCTGCAGGACCTCAACAGGGTTCCTTCCAAACACACTTTGGAACTCTAAGCTATCAGCATTCAGTACATTGAACAACTGCCGCTTTGGAAAAAAAAAAATCACTGACAAGCCATCTTCGTACCTGCCGATGCAGGTTAAAGAGATACCTTTCTATTTAAATTATGATGTGTTTGGGGAATGGAGGCAATAAACGGGACTAGTAGACGAATATTTAACCCTCACTTGGGAACGAACGGATACCCAGTCATTTCAGTTGTACCCATTTTCATGCAAATGTTTACAATCTAAATTAGTCTCAGTCCACATCATCTCATTAGAGTTGGTCTGATCATGCCCCTGCTGGGTATACTTTGCCACTCAAGTGTTTATGATACAGACTATGCTAAATGCAATAAAATGACACTGAAAACACTCTGTCATTCAGATGATCACTGTTTAGCTTCTGCAAAAACCCTAGACAATTTAGGAATTGTCAACTTTTGAAACCATATTTAAGGAAAGGAAAAGGAGACTAGCCCTGATGTTTTCCTTGGTTGTTTTTGGATTTTGAAGGGATGATGGACTGGCAGAAATAGCATACATGGACAAGACTATCAGATAAACTTTAAACAAAGGCTATCACTCCTTCTGAGAGCAGAGGTCTGGAGAGCATGGAGTAGGAGAAGGGAGCTGCCCCTTGGGAAATGACATTGTGCAGGTGGCCGAAGTAAGAGTTCTTTTCCTTTCAATCTAGTGACAGCAGATGATCCACGGTGGGACATTTGGAGAGCTTCTTCCCAAACCGGGCCCGGCTTCTCTCTCTGTTCATAGGAACAGGGATTTTTGAGGCAGGAAATTGATTATTAAATCAAAACAAAACAAAACAAAAAAACCAACCAGAGTTTTGCACAGATTGGGCCACTGAAAACTACCTTGTTGACATGGGAACATGTGAAAAGGCAGTGGTTCGCCTCTGGGAAGGGTTACCTTTTAAATTCAATAGGCAGTCTGTACAAAGGACATTCTGGGTAGATGAGTTCTGACTGCCCCTGCACCTTAACGCTTCAACATCAGAGTACACTGATGTTTACATTTCTAGAGGCCAGTGTGTTTTCAAAGGTAGAAAGACTGGCAGTGATAACTTCCTTAATCTAACATCTGCTCATAATTCAAAGACAGACCTGGGAGAAATGTAAGTTACTTATATGAAAATATTTCACAAAAACCTGTTGACCTCTATTGATAAGTTTTTACCAACTCTTTGTGGCTATGCTAGAGTTTCCCAAGGGACAGCCGCTAGTTTTCAAGGGTAATTTCTCAGACCACTTATTCCCTCAAGCCTCCACCTGTACCCCATGTTTGCATTAGGGACTTGATTTATGGATTCTTCTCCTGAGATGCAGAAACTGACTTCCTGTTGCCTTGGTTACTTGGAGCTCAGTTCAAGGTTAAACTACTCCCAATCAAAATCCAGTGACCAGGTTATTGACTGCCCCAGGATGCGGAAAGGTCAGGGACCAAAGCACTGTTTACTGCCTTACGGGTGAGTCAATAGCTTCAATATTTTGATTCTCTTCCTTCTGAAGTAGATGTTGCTGCTCAATTACCTCTTCCTCAGGTTATTCAAGGTCACAAGGGTCATTGTGGAAAGCAGGGCCTATGGTGACTGACTTTCTCAGGATCCCTTTAATGAGCTTTGTGACCTTGGCAAGTAAAACTCAACCTCCTCTTAAGAATTTGTATGTTGCTCTCAAGTTCATAAAGCTAGTTATCGCTCATTTTGCATTTTTTTACGGGGAACAAACAAATAAACGCCCTTCATGGGATGTCTACTGTACACTCCCCTTTCTAGTAGATGAGAAAGCAGAGGTTTGAGACAGGTCATATGATTGTTCTAAAATCACACAATGGCAGAGGTGACAGAATCTGGAGACATCAACTCACTGTTGGGTCCTCTACATGGCTTCCTTAAGGAGCTTTCAACTCATCATGGATGGATCCCACCCATTTCATTTTGGTACATCTACTGTAGAGAGCTTTGTATCTGGCAGGTGGAACTTGACTCCTGTAGGCTTGCTGAATAGCTCAATTAATTTGCAAATTCCAAAAATTGCAAATTCAGGAGCTTCTTGCAGCTGATGTCTATGCTGGTATGGTGGGATGGAAGTAATGTCACTGGGATGGTTGTCCCTTTCTATCACCTCCCAGACCTGTACCTAGTCTGCAGAATACAGAGTTTGGTATGAATGGGGAATTAAAATCCATTGAGCAGTTTAGTAGCTTTTAATTTTTGCAAACATTTTTGACACGCAATATGCTGTTTGTGGATGGTAAGATGTACATGGGAAGCCCTCCAATCAATCCACC